GCATCCACTTTCTCTATAATCTATAGATCCATTTCCATATCACTCATTGTGTTTATTTCATCGCTCAAGTACAAAACATCCATTTTCTGAAACAACAAATCATTTGAATCAAATAACAGAAAATTGTATAAATATGTATAACACAACTAAACATCACATATAAGTACTACACAGTCAAACTCATGCATATATCATTACAAAAATCAATCACAATTTGATGAATCAAACAATATACATCTAATTTCAAGTACACAACTCTCAATTTTTAAAGGGCTCGGAATTTCAACTACCAAAAAGTGAAAACAGAGAGTGGCTCAGAGTTGAAAATCAAGCATTTTCCGTTATAAACAAGCATTTTCCGTTGAAAATCAAGTTAGATTCAAGATTTTCAAGAAATGAATCAACCATTATACCATTAGATAACTACCGAATGGAGACACTAAAGTACGAGACCGATTACGTGCGGAACTACAACAATACAAATGCAAAGCCAATATAAAGTGTGGGCCAATTCTAAGAATCAAAACTAGTTTCTATTGACATGCACTTATCAATGCTTTATACAGTAGCAACAGTGACAAATATCAATGACTATTAACTAAGTTCACCTATTCAACTTCTGGCAACAAATAAAACAATTTAGAGATTACAAACTGAAGTCTAGTTCTTCCAATTCTTTTCTAATGACTTAGATTAGAGTACTAGTCACAGTAATGATGATGACTACTTACAGTAATTCTTCCTTCAATCCTCAAATCTTTCTGCTCAAATAGCCAAATCTGGATCCGAGTTTTCTACATCACAAGCACAGAAAAATCAAGAGCACGAATTAGTAACGTAATCAACACAAACCCAACGAAGAAACTAAACAATTCGATGAATCAAACAAAAATTGATTGAAACTTTACTATTCAAATTAGAAACTCAACATGTAATCAAACCCATAAGTGTGAAAATGCAAAAGAAAAAGGAAGATTGAAGAGGAGAATATGAACCCAGGAACCCAGAACGATGAACACCCAAGATCTTGATATATGCCTCGTAAGTGTGAGGTGTTAAAATGTCGCCTGCGTATCGTATTATTCCATCAAGTCCGTTGGATAAAATTCGAGCCAGATAACAATCTTTTCTTTGCAATAATTATCATCGCTTTGCCATAATATATGTTATTTACATCCCGTAAAAGTTACTTTCATTCATTTTCTCTGTATTAAATTCAAAAGTATCAAACAATCAAAATCAATTCAATATAGTAAATAGGGTT